ACTGCATCATGATAGAAGTTTTAAATCTCCAGAAAAATATGACAATTAGAAAAAAAGAAAAGCTCAAGATTAATGATCTAAGCATAGAACTTGAGAAGTTAGAAAAAGGAACATCAGATAAAACTAAAAAAACAAAAGTAGAAAAAAATAAATATAGAAGCAGAAATTAACGAGGCAAAAAACAAACATACAGTTGAGAATATTGGCCAAGACAAACATTTTCTGAAAAGCTTAATGAAACTGACAAACTGCTAAGATTAATCAATAAAAAAAGAAAGAAGATGCAAATTATTACTAATAGAGAAAAATAAAGAATATAGCTATAGATGCAACAGATTTAAAAAATTAAGGGGATATTATGGACAACCTGATGCCAATAAATCTGAAAACTTTAAAATATGTATAAATTCCTGGAAAAATACAATTTGCAAAAACTGACTCAAGAAGACATGGAAACTTAAACAGTTCATGAGTAGTACACATTAATGAACCACTTATTTATTATAGAAACTCTTAGCAAACTAGGAATAAAAAGAAATTTCTTTAACCCAATAGAAGGCATCTAAAGAAAAGCCTAAAGGAAACATAAAACTAAACGGTGACTGGTGAAAGCCCCCACTCGAATGCCGGGAATAAGGCAAGGGTGCCTGCTCCAAACGCTTCGTTTCTGCATGGTACTGGCTGTCCTGGTCAGTGCACTATAGCAAGGAAAAGGGGGAAAAATGTATCAGGATCAGAAAGGAGTAAATCAACTGTCAATATTCACAAATGGTGTATTTCTATATTTGGAAATCACTAAAGAACCAACATTATTTGAGTTTTAGCAAGTTTTCTGGATACAAAATCATTACCCAAAAGGCAATTACATTTCTATACATCAGCAACGAGTTAGAAAACACAACTTTAAAATGATGCCATTTAAAATAACAACAATATAAAGCACCTAGGAATAAATCTATCAAAAGCTGTGCATGTCCGTTACAGAACTTGATTGAAAGATATTAAAGATGACTAGTTAAATGGGGATATATACTATGCTTATGGTTATTATATTCACTATTGAAAATATGTTAGTGTTCTTCAAACTGATCTACAGACTCAATGAAATTCCAATAAAAATTCCAACAGGATTTTTTTGTGGAACTTGATGAATTGATTCTAAAATTTATATGGAAGAGTAAAGGGCTAATTATAGCCCTTTCACTCTTGAAGAAGAACCAAATGCAAAAATCAATTCAAGGTGGATTAAAGACTTAAATATGAAAGGCATAAAACCATAAAACTTAGAAGCCAATATATATATGAGAATATCTTTATGACTTTGGGATAGGGAAGAATTTCTTAAAGAACATACACAAAAAAATCAGAAACTATAAAGAAAAATATGGATAAATTCTACTACATTAAATTTAAGAACTTATGTTTTTCAAAAAAACCATTAGTTGAATGAAAAGGCAAGGCCCAAATTAAGAGAAGATATTTGCTGAACACATAATCAAAAAGAATTAGCACTTGGAATATATAAAGAACTCCTGAAAATCATGAGAAAAAGACAAACAACTAAATTAAAAATCAGACAATGGGCATGATTTAGGCATTTCATAAAGAGAACACAAATGGTTCATAAAAATGTGAAAAGATGCTCAACCTCATTTGAGTCAGGGACAGACAAATTAAAACCACAATGAGATACTATTTCACATCCACCAGACTGGGAAAAATTTTAGGGCAAGTGATGGTGAGGTTATGGAAAATGTGCAACTTGGTTTGACCACTTTGGTTTACTTAATAAAGCTCAACAAGTACTCTGTGACCCAGCAATTTCACTTCTAAGCATAAACCTTAGAAAAGTTTTTGCATACGTGCACCAGGAAACAAGTGCAAGAATGCTCATAGCAACATTGTCCCTAAAGGCAAAAAACTGGGAAAAAAAATTCTTATATCTACTCCCGATAGAATGGATAAATGAATCGAAGTATATTCAAACAATGAAACTGCATTACAGCCATAAAAATGAATGAATTACAGCTAGAAGCATCATCACAGGTGAATCTCAAAGACACAGGCTGCCGCATAAGGCTGAGCTTGCAGGCTGTGCGAGTGGGTTCAGTAAGCAATAGAATCTATTACACGCTCCACGTGCCAAGCTGTACACACTGGCACAGGCATGACTTCCCTGAAGGAAAGGGTGCCCTCTTAATTTTTTTAACTGCACACAGGTTTCCTGTGGGTTAGCTCTGGCCCTACAAAATCATAATGTTGAATAGAAAGACAAGTCATGGAAGTATATATATTCTGTATTATTCCATTTATGTAAAGTGCAAAACCAGGTAAAACTAAACAATGATGATTCATATGTATGTGGTAGAACTATATAGAAAAGCAAGAGAGTGATTAACACAAAATTCAAAACACTGGTCATTTCTTGGGGAAGGGGGAGCATCTAATTACGAAAGAGTTCGGTAACGAGGTTTGAGAGGTCTAAGGTATTGATAATGTTCTATTTCTTTGGTTGAGTAGTGGGTACTCAAGTACTATGTTCGTCATTCTTTATCCTATACATGTATGTTTAAAAAGCCCTCCTTATATAATCTACATAATTGATTTTAAATAAAAGAGATTACACCCAGGAGTACTGCCTGGAGGAGAGGGGACCCCAGTGTAAGGTCTGGGCAGGGTAGATTGCCAGGGGCCCAGGGGTGACGGTCTGAGTCCTAAGTGGTCACAGGAGGAGAGTCCTTGACTGCCTCATGTGCGATGAGATGGGAGGACTCCAATGGAATCCTTCAAAAGTGCTTCATGAAAGAGCAAATTAAAACCACAGCAAGATACCACTATTAGAATAAAAACATATGTCTGTACAAAAATTTGTACACAAACGTTCATTGTACTAGTATTTACAATAGCCAAAAAGTGAAACAACTCCAATGTCCATTAACTGATGAATGGGTAATAAAATGTGGTATATCCATACAATGGAATATTATTCAGCAATAAAGGGAATGAAATACTGATAAATGCTATAGCATGAATGAACCTTGAAAACATGCTAAGTCACTTGTGGTCACAAAAGACCACATATGGTGTGATTCCATTTATATGAAATGTGTAAAATAGGCAAATCTACAGACAGGAAGTAGGTTAGTCTTTTTCAGGGGCTGGAGTGGATATGTGTGTGGGAATGAGGAATGACTGCTAATGGGTACGAGGTTTCTTTTTGGGGCAATGAAAATGTTGTAAAATTGACTGTGGTGATGAATATAAAGCTGTGTGAACATACTACAGGATGGGGAATTGTACACTTTAAATGGGTGAATTTTATGGTATGTGAATTATATCTCAATAAAACTGTAACCACGACAACAAAAAGAATGGCTTATATTTTTAAAAAATGACTATACCAAGTGTCAGCAAGAATACAGAGCAACTGGAAAATTTGTACATTGCTAGTGAGAATGCAAAATGGCACACAGCCACTTTCGAAAACAGTTGAGAAATTTCTTAAACATACTCCTACTATATGATCTAGCAATCCTATACCTAGCTATTTACCTAAGTTAAATGAAAACCTACGTTCACACACAAGTGTGCACACAAATGTTTATAGTGGTTTTATATTAATTGCTCCCATCTGCAAACAACACAGATTTCCCTCTAGGACGGAATGGATAAACAAACTTGTATGTCCATACAAATGGAATGCTATGTAGTAATAAACGGAAGGAGCAAGTGATACAGACATCATCACAGATGAATTTCAAATGCACTGTGTTAGGTGAAAGACGCCAGACTCAAAAGGTTACATATTATATGATTCTGTTTACATGATGAGAAAGGCAAAACTTCAGGGACAGAAAACACATCAGAAGTTTCCAGGCATTGGGGGAGGTGTTGCGTACAAAGGGATATGTGGGAATTTATCGGGGCGATGGACCTGTTCTAGATCTTGATTGTGGTGGTGGCTGCATGACCGAACGGGTTTGTCAAAACTCACAAAACACTGTACACAGCACACTATAAAGAGTGAATTTTACTGTATCTTAATTTTACCTTAATAAAAAAAAATCCCCATTTCCCCCAAACAGTTGTCCCATGAAAAAAACATCTCATGGGTCATGGGGCCCCGACGCCAGATGACAATTTAACAGCTAACTAAAATTGTGTGTTTGTTACTTTAACCCCTTCTCCCTTTAGGCCTGACCCTGGATGAGGAAATACCACAGCTGAGGAGTACAAATGAGTTGAAAGAGTGAAAAAAGAAACGGATTTTGCCTCACCACCAGCCTTGCTCCCCCTGCCACCATAGGATTATCGCCTGAAACGGTATCAGATGGAGGGAGGGGAGCAACTCTAAATTGTTTAACAATTTGAGGTCTTGCTTATTACATTGAGCTAGACATTCAGTTGCTAAAATAAGACTGTTCGTGTGACTGAGAGGCCAGAAAAGCTATGGGATTGGCCTAAATTCAAATAGGGGCATGGAAACAGTCAGCTCACAGAGAGGATTGGAAGGAACAGTGGGAGAAAGAATAAAGCGACTTTATGATCATCTCCTTATGGGGTCCAGTTTGTTTAATACAGTAGTTACACATGCAATCAGTATGCTAATTACAACTCTTACCTAATCTCTACATGGGCTAAATAGGGAACTCCTTTTTGCTAAACGAGATAGCATTGCTACAGTTTAATAGAATATCGTAGAAAATGGGACCTATTTCCTGATGATCCAGCACCAAAACATATTTCCTGAGAAAGTGAATTGGGTTCACTGTACAAGCACAAGCAGCAGAAAGGCGCGATTCTGTGATCTTAAGGTATTCAGATCCCACAGACACCAAATGATGTAAGATCTCTCCTCGAAGCAAAATTTGTCTGCCACTCACACCACTGTAACCCTGGTACCTAGAACAGTGCTTGCTGCAGAGGAAGGAAACATTTGTTGAATGACTGAATGAATGGAACACCATGATGCAAATAGGAAAATGAGAAACAGTGATGGCTTTTCTTTCTCCAGGTTTGAACTGCAAATTTTATTTAATTGCAATTAAATGATTTTATAGATAAGGGGTTCGGGAACCTATGACAGTGGGCTGAGTCCCAGCTTAATAAGGATACTGAGCATCATTTAAAGTTGGCTAGTAGAAACTGAATGGGTGATCCAAGTCATTGTAAATTGGAACCCTCTCTTCCTGCATAAAACACAAACTGCAAGGAAAATTTTCTTCGAATTCTCCATGGAGAATATTTTTATTTATTTATATTCTTCTTGCATACTCTAAAATGCACAGTGTGAATTTCCTTTCTTCAAAAAACAGTTGTGAGCCTGGTCAATTTTTCTGAGATCTTCGGAAGGTCTTCGGAAACGTTGCCTTAGGTTTGAGCTAAGCGAGTCACAGGGATTGGTCATGAACTACTACAAAATTACAGGAAATCTAGTTATTATCCAACAGTTACTAGAAAAGCATAAGAGAACATCAGACATACAGCCAGAGAGGGTAATAGAAGAGCAGATGCTATTTAGGTAATGGGATTTCCATACATACAACTCTATGTACAGTATCAGAATTCTCTTACAGACAGTAAATTTATGCTTAAATCATTATTTTAAGGGCACTCTAATATAAATACAAGTCTCACTAATTTTAATCTTTTCTCTTTGGCTCACAAATGCACGAAAATACCATAAACAGTTTTCAGAACTTACTGCATTAATATATAAATAAGATACATTACAAATGGGAAGAAAATACAAGATGCCTCTTTAACATGGTAAATCTCTGAATATAAATAAGCAAATATTTCATTTACCTACAATTAAACAGTCATTGAAGTCATACATGTGTTCTTCCCCTCCCCCCCAAGGTCAGACAACAGAAATGGACACAATCTACACAAATTAATCTCTAAAAATACAGCAATAATACACCTGTAACAATGACTCTGCTACTAGTTTCCCCTAACAGGATACAAATAGGGAGGGCAGGACTCTTGTCATCCAGTGGTGCTTTTTCTCATCCATCATCACTTCAGGTGGAAGAAACACTGACGACAAGGTCAACTCCTGCCAACAGCATTTCCCTTGGTCCCGACAACCTGATATTTTGAAAAACATCTTTCCTGGGTTGTTGGGCAAGCTGGTTTGCAGCATGTTTGGTCCCTCAGTAACTGCTGAAGGTGTTAAAGTTAATTCTCTTGGAGTAGGAGACATGCTGTGATCTATTACTAAGCCACACTCACTATACGTACATATGTGTATATATAGAGAGAGGTATATATAACTGTACATATATACTGTGTTCCTAATGTGCAACTTTTTAAAAAGAACGTTATTTCCTGCTAACTATAACAAGCTTAAGTAAGGGTTTAACAGTATTCTTCAAGATATTATATTTTCCCTCAATGAAATGGCCTGTGTGTTTCAGTAACTTACGGAGGTTGTTCTAGAGTGTCAGAGGGGAAAGGGAATTCGCATAAACTCATGTTCTACAGAGGACAATTACAGATCCTGGCCCAGTCTTTCTATCTCCTCAATGAGGAAGTCGATATCAGACTGGGTAGCAGCTGGGTTTGAGATGACCATCCGGAAGAAGTTGGCCTTGTCCCCCTGAGGCTGGTAGCCAACCATGGTCGTGCCAGACTCCATCATCAGGGCTTTAATTTTGGGAGCCACCTTGTGATAGGAAACACAAAACAAGACTGAAGACTGATATTAACACCCCTCTCTTTTTAACAAGGCAAGCCATTTCTTGGTTGGAGAAAAGAGCAATTTGCTTTTTACTATTTATATTTACACTGACACAAACGCAAAGAAATAGTTTATGTCTAGGTTTCTTCAGTGACTAATATCTAACGACTATTAAAGACTACTCAATCATATGTTCCCTCAGAAAGTAGTGTGCGACTGAATTTTGAAAGTCAGTCATGGAACAATGGTAATAAAATAAAAAACAAAACCAAAAAACTCTCATGGGCAACAACACAAATGAGGGCTTCGGTATAATGTGGAGCCCAGGATACTGCCTGGCACATAGACTGTGCTCCACAAATTTTTGTTGAATGGTTAGATGAATGAAATATTATATAAATTAAATATAATACCAACAACTATAAATAATATGTAAACTAGATATAGAAATCAACAACTAGGATGAATCAGCATTAGAGTAGACCTGAACTTAGTAAAAGATATTTTAACACAGTTTAATATGGAATGTTCCTAGAAACATGCATATTACTCAGTTGCCCTGCATACAGCTGCTTTAATGAAGAAAACAAACCCAAGACAGGGGTACATCTTTTAGAGGCTCCCATTGTATCTGAACTACCGCAAGGGGGACAATCCAGACCCAAGAAGACTACAACAAGATGGCTCCCTACCACCCCAAGTCTTTATTTTTTATTTCTCCCCTGTTAGAAAAACACATTGGAGTGAGGACATTCTGACCAGAAAGAGAAAGTGCAGAGGGTTAGACGAGACAAGGAGAGATTCCATACCCTGTGGAGTTTTTCCCGTCGCTCAGGGCTATCCGGAACGCCCCTGAGGCTTTGTGGAATATACCAGAAACAGACGTTTGTATGCTCAGGCTGCAGAGATTTTCACAAACAAGCAAACATACAAACAAAATGGAAAATTATGAGAACTTGAGAGAAAGCTTCTTCCAAACCCCTATGCACCCTTGGTGGAAGTCTCTCAGACACACACACACACAAAGCTTCACGTCCATCTTGAAGGCAATGATACTTCTATACTAGCGAGAACAAGGCCCAGTTTATCCAATCATGTCTGGCAAGAGAGCTGTTTCCCATAACCAATTTTCTAGATGACCAAAGTTACCACCTTCAAATATTGAAATGTTAAAAAATAATTTTATTTGGGTAGTTTTAGAAAAAAGGGTATTATCCATCTTGCCATTTTGCAGTGCCTCATAAATAGAACATGCTTGAAACATAGTTTATTTTATTGATACCGAATATTTTATTGAGTTTATTATATTGATGCTGAATCTTTTCTTGATGGCTCAGGATTACCATAATGAACATTAATACTGGTTCTAAACCATAAGACAGGGCTTACTGAAATGCCCAGAACTGGTTAGTGCCCTGCTCTAAAGACTCCTATGATTCTGAGTTCTTCTGTATTCTTGCTGGAGTTATTCAGCTTCCTTCCTAGTCGCTGTTTGCCATCACTGTGCCTGCCTCTAACTGGCTTGAGATATCACATTTGTTTTTAATCTCCCAGTAGGATGTTTAAAATAGTATAAATGATCAGAGTGAGGTCCTGTGGGTAAAATGCATGAATACTGTATGATTGATTTGAACTGCTCAGTTCTCTTGCTCATTTGCTAACTCTCCAGTGTGTTCTTAATAGTTTAGGTTGCCTGATAAATGTACTAAGTTGAATGTAGGTGGTGTTATATTATACGAGGTTGTGAGTGGATTTTCTTTTATTCAACACTGGCTCCTATTTCAACTTTCTTTATCCAAAGGCAAGCTCCATTAGGGCATAGACAGTATCTGTTTGGGTCATTACTGTATAAACTAGCTCTTGGCATGGGGCAAGGCACACAGCAGACATTCAGTCAATAGTGGTATGACAAGTACTTCACTGTGCGCAATGTGGATATGAACTAAGGGCAGAGACATTTTTATCTTGCTCTCCTCCTAATGAATCTATGTGAAATAGAACTTCATTTTAGAGCCAGTCTTGGGACACAAGGATGCACTCATTCTAGAAGCTTCTTGGAACTGAGAAACTCTTTATCATGGAGGTTCAACACAATAATAAGAGACACATTCTTATGATAAAGAATGATAAAGGCTTCCGACCTGCCAAAGAAAGACCTCTTGTCTGCAAAATGCTGGCCATGTGCTACACCATTTTAGAGGAGGAAAAGTCATCCCCATGCTATGGGGAGAAAAGTTCATGGACCCAGAGGGAATTCAATGAAGAGAGCATAAGAATGAAAACTCAGAAACAGCTCCTGGCAAACGTGAGAAAATTTGGCTTCAAGAGCTTCCCTTAATAGATTTTCCAGAAATTCTGTACATATAGTCTGTGATGACAACTCACCTCACCATCAAAAACCATCTCAAATTCTTCTCTGTTTTTAATCTTAGCATAGAGGTATTCAGCCAGTTCCAAGCATTTGTTGATCTGATTTTCAAATCCCACTGTCCCCTGTTTTAAAAAAAGAAGTCATGTTTGTTGGTGAGAGGTTGCATTTCCCTGAGACGGGCATTTGAAAAGGCTATGCTGTCCTTGTCTATCGGAGATATACATGGGTATTCTTGGAGATGGTTAGGAAGAACCATCTAATTGAATGTGTACAGCTTCTTCTACCTGCAATAAAAGCAAGTGTGCCAACTCTCTTTTGAAGGCACTCTAGTCTCTGGGCAGTTATTCTCAATAGGACTTTTAGCTTCCTGCTGGTTATTCATGGCCTGGACCTGAAGCCTATTTCTGGTTTGCTTTAGGACAGTGCTACTCAAAGTATTATTTATGGACCGAGGCTACTCTACAGACTGTAACTAGCTCATGACAGGATGAGTACAGAAATTGAGAGGAATCAATCAGAAACGTTTATATCAACTGACAGAGTAACTTTATGTCTACTGAATCTAATTTAAAAAATTGGTGTTTGTACTTTGTATGGTTTTTAATTTCATTTGTTTAGCAATTCATCTTTATTGTCTTGGTGTATAATAGGTTAAAAAACCCTGACTGGTTCTTCCCCACAGGTAGTCTGAGAAACACTACTTCAGAACCCACCTTCATCAGCGGTGAGTCCTGGCCAAACATGTCCCCCACACTCCCAGGCAGGCTATCTTCCACACAACTGTGTATCATCCCTTTTTGGTGACAGGCAGGCAGGAAGATGGGGAAGTCACTGGTCTCGGTACATGCCCTGAGATTGCAATAGCTCCAACTATTGACAAACTGGTTGAGCATGAGTTTCAAAAGCCAGCATGGCTGATTAATAACAGCAGCGTGGGGGTAGTTGAGTGGGTCGGTGTTAACAAGGAGAGCAGATGCACAAGGCTGGCTTGTGGATGGCGAATGGGCCTGGGCAAAGTCCAACACTGGCAAAGCAGCAGGCACTGCTAAGCACACACCCTGGCCAGTCCACTTTCTGCTTGGGAATGAAGCTCGCACCAGGATCCCACCTCAGCAACGAATTCACTATGAGCCAAACTTCTGGCAGATGGTTCAAGACGTTATGGTTAGGCAAAACCAAGACTCAAATTGCTGAGACAGACCACGTGGCTTTTATGTTTCTAAATGATAGGGCTTATTCTCTTGTTGCAATTACAGCTACTTATATGCTTAAAATACGTCCAATTACTTTGGGGTAGAGATCAAATTCAGACTATTTCTATATTAAGATAAAATGATTTAATGAGAAAAAACCTAATAATCCATCAAATTCTTCCTACAGAAGAAATATTTGACTAGATATTTCTCTGGAAAGCCTTGTCATTTTGGTATTAGGTAGGCCCAATCTTAAACACGGAAATTATTAAAATTAACTTACAGTAGTGATATTATAAAGCTATGAAATCAAAACCACCTTTACTTGATTGCATAAAAATACTTTTGAAACAAGTAGGCAAATGGTAATCCTCTTCCTCACCCATATTTTTGGGGAAATTCCAATAGTTTGCTTTTTTTCTAGACACAGAAATGCAACCTGAAAGACTGATGGATGCAGACACATCGTGCTTCAGTCGAGCAGCAGGATTTCTCAGAATAAAGTATACATTTTCCAGAATAGTGTATAAAGTACAAATAATGGCAAAGCCATTATTTTAAATAGAACTTAAAACTTTCACGTATATCCCATGATTCGTGGCTTTATAAAGGAATTCAGGGTTCTGCACAGAATAATGCAAGAATTTTATCTTTATCTCTTTCTCTACATCTGCACTAAATAATTTCAGCATCCCTAAGGATTGCTGTGGAAGTCCTTATCTTGGCATAATTTTTAGTTCTTATAAGAGAAAGTTATAAAAAAATTTCATGCTAATTCAAATGGAAGAGATTGAACGGAGGGAAGGAGAACTTGATATAAGGAACAAAGTGATTTCATTTGCAAACAAAGAAAATACAGTTAACTCAATTCTCTAGATATTGATTACAGATAGCGAATTGTCTGTGATATATCTTTGCCTCTCTTTTGCTAGGCAGCCTGTGCAAATTACATTTCTGCTCTATTTCCTGAATTCTCTCCTTCATACCTTTGCTTTCCACATCAGCCAGAACTTGAAAATGTCCACATGGCGGCCACACTGAATTGCCTTGTCCCCAGTGTCGTAGGAGACATCATACTGCTTGTCTGGCTGGAAGAGGTATCCTGCACACATCTGGTTGCATCCTTGGAGTATACCCTATCATGAAAATCAAGACAATTGTGCATCTGTATCCACAGGTCGGACATGTGGATGGCTTTGAAACAGGGCTGGCTGGACTCGGGGCATGTGCAACCTTTCTTCTAACGTCTTTAGGAAGCCTTGCACTTGCTCTGATGTCCTTCTCTAAAAGAATCCCTGGAAAAACCTTTGCCCCTTTCCCTCTGTCACCTTGATTAGAAAATGATCTTTTGTCTCAGACGCCTACAACAAGGGCCCCACTGTCCCCCTCGGGACATTTGGGAATGTGTTTGGGTATCTCAGGTTGTTTCAAAGACTGAGAAGTGCTATGGCATTTCCCCAGTGGGCAGGGGTTGTGGATACAAACTTTTCAGTGGGTGGGACAGTCTCATGCTGTCAAGAATTTTCCTCACCTAAACCTCCCCCTAAAAAGCCTTCCAGTCTTTTCCAGGGTCTCCTATGAAATAAACAGTCACTCTACTTAGAAGTGGAGTAAGGAGAGGAGTAAAGAAGTGTCTCCTACAGGCTGGAGACAGACTTTTTGGGAATGCCTCAGTGTGCAAAACTTTTACTGGAGCACAGTGCTTTCGAGGGCAGGGTCCTATTATTGGACGCTTAAAGGAGGAGATAAACCACTAATTCACTTACAGAAGCTTTTTGGTCAACATTCCTCGTTGTCCTAAGTTGACATTTGTAGTTGATGTTCCGCCTAGTTTATTTCAGCTCTTGGGACCAAAAATCATGCTAAGAACTTGAAGTATGTTCCAGTGACCACTTTGTGTCCTCACTGACGTGAGAATTGGTAGCTCACCCAATGGCTCTCACTTTTGTTTGTACTAACATGAAGGAATGGGAAATGAAGTAGTGTCCTTATCATTTCTGTCACTGAGAGGGCCTGGGCACTGAACAAGGAGGAAGGGCAGTAGAGATCAGAGGCCAAGAGGAGGCACTGGGCTAGCTGAAGGCTAACAGATAAGGCCAAGAAAGAACAGCAGTGGCAGGCTCAGTGGGCTGTCAATCTTGTGAGTTCGTCCACAAGTACTGTAAAAGACCCCACGCTTTGCTCTCCTCATGCCTTCTAAAGGATGTGCAGGCCGCCAGCTCATCTTTGGAGGGAGTACAGACCTTTTCCTTGACGAGGATGGCAGAGCACTGCAACAGCACGCCCATCATCTTGTGAGGGTTCCAGGTGACTGAGTCGGCCCTGAAAGAAGCACGTGATAGTCTGAGGAGAAGGTACACGAGTCAGCAAGAGACAACTGTCCTCTTGAGGAAAACAGCCATCACAACTCAAGTCAGTACACATTTTTGATGCTTAGTCCCCTAAATTGGCTAATTAAGTAGTAAACAAATATTTTGCAGGCAGTCTTAGGGTACTAAGTTGCAGACAGACTCTTCGAACTAACTGCTACTGATAATAGATAATATTTATGAAGAACTTATTATGTGTCCTATTGTTCTGAGAGATTTATAGGCAGTACGTCAGAATGGTGTCATGGTTAAGAACTCAGGCTTTGAAGCCAGACTGGCCAAGTCTGAATTCTAGCTCTGACATTTGCTAGCTTGGGCAAGTTACATAACTCCCCTGTGCCTCAGTTTTCCATCTGTAAAATGGGGAGAATAATGTCTACTCACAGAATTGAATAAAGGATAAAAGGAATTAATAAATACAGAATGCTAATAACTGTGCCTGGATTACTTAATTCTCACAACAACCGTATGATGTAGGGACTATTATCACCTCTATTTTAGATGGAGAAACTGAGGCACAAAAGAGTTAAATACAGCACCCAAAGTCACACAGCTGGAAGTGTTGGAGCCAAGATTCAAGTCCAGGGGAACTAACTGCAAAGCCAGTGCTCAGAACCCCTCCACCAGCCTGCCTCCCTCTAGGCAACAGACTTCGGCTTCTGTCTATCTTCCTGTTCTTATGTATAAAATGGGCTGGTGATGCTGACCTACCTACTTATGAGGTAGTGTGAAGAGTGACACCTAAACGCAAGGATCAGTTGGACACTTCTAGACTTTGACCACTTAGCAGCATTGTTTACATGCTAAATGAACATGATGTTGCCAGTTTTTAGGCTGCAATGATAGCTTAACGAGATGGTCTCCTAGCAACCACATCACTCTGTCAGACACAATTAAATGGTTAAGGAGCATACTAGCTAGGATGTTACGGAAACAACTAAGTGTAATATATGATGATTAAGACTGGGGTAAGTTGCTTCAGTAGTTTACAGACTCCTTCCCAATGGCCTGGCCCACAGCTGGACTCTGCGCTTTAATACCTATGAAGGATGTTTTCCCCAGACATAGCAATTGGTTCAGAATTATGCTGCCTCTGCTGTCCCTGGAGCTAAATCCTTGCTGTGAATTTTTAACCTCTTCATCTTGCGTAGGTCCTATAGAGGGAAAATAATTTAGTGACTATAGGGTGTGCTCTGTGTTTCAACGAGAAGAGAGAAAGGCCTGAAGTGCATTTCCCCTAAGTGCCTAATAGAGAAAAGCTTTGTGAAAGAGACCTGTGAAAAGTTATAAGAAAAGTCGAACAAATGCTTATCCCATTAAAAAGCATCAGCGTCAAGACATATTTAAAAGGTAGTGGATTTAACCAATTTTCTCATAGCTTTCATCACTGGGTCTTTCAAAAGTTATATTTAGATATCATAAACTATCTTAAAGAAAATGGTTTTCTAAACGTCATAAAGGTCTGAAGTAAATGATTCTTTGCTGCTACAAATGGAAAATAATGAAACATACTATGGATTCAATTTCATTCAAAAGACATATGTACTTTAATATGTTAGAAAAGAAAAAGGCTAGTGCAAAATGTTTCACATTTTCCTAGACTTAAAGATGGAAAATGAAAATTGCCTGAGAAATTTGTTTGCAGTTGCACTGGCTCATCTAAACTTAGTATGTTATCCTCCAAGTTATAAAGTCATATAACTGCTTCAAAGAGTCAGTCCTACTCACTTTGACACTGGCCTTTCAACACTGACCCTGAACGGAAGAAGCACAGCAGATGGAACAAAAACTCAAGCCAGAGTCCTTGATGTGAGAAGCCACTGGTGTGCTTTCCCTGATGCCTGCTTCCTGTCCACCTCTCCAACCTCAGTCTGCTCTTACCACTCACTTTGCTCCAGCCACACTGGCGCTTTGATGGTCCTCTAACTTGTCAAGAACAGTCCTGCCTCAGGGCCTTTGCACTTGCCCTTCCCACCACCTGGAATACTCTTCCTTATATCCTTGCTTCCTGTCTCCCTTTATTCCAGTATCTGCTGAAATGTCACCTTCTCAGAAAAGCCTCTGACCACCCTGTCTCAAATAGCATGCCTTGTCACTCACTGTTATCTAACCCGGTCTTATTTTTCTCTACTGTGACCAGATTAAATATCTCTTTATTTATGGACATCTAGCCCACTGGCATGTAAGCTTCAGGAGGGTAAATCTCTTGGTTGATTCATGTACTGGATACACACTTTTTAGAAAAGTGCCCTTGATGGCTGGACTGAAGGCAGGTAACTGAGTACTCACATCCATGCCTGCCTGGATCATGGTAGGTGCTCAGTAAATATTTGCTGAGTGAATAAACAAATCAATGTGAGTTCCTTTTGGACCAATATTTGGGAGTCAGGTCAAAATCCTATTTGGCTTAGAACACCCACTGAACTTGAACGACGAATAAGAAAATAAGTAAGTTAGGTGAGCTGAGGGTCCGCCCCCTTTCCCAGCAGTGAGCCGAATGAGAAAGCAGAGTGAAATGAATCACTGCCCCTTCCTACACCATTGGCAAACCCTCCTTTTGCCTCCAGATCCCTGCACTGCTTAGTCTCTCTCCTCTCCCACCTGGGCACCTAGCGATAACACCTATGGTCGGGCTCATCACATTGTGTGCAACTGTTCACTTGTCTTTCTAAATTGTGAACTCATTGAGGTGAGGCCTCATTTGACTGGGAAACCATTCAGTTTTGATTTCCCAGTGCCTAGTATACAATAAGTGCTCAATAAATGCCTATTGAACTAAAATGGGCTTAATCAGATTGAAATAAGATATGTGGAATCCAGGCAGGGACATCACAGACCCCGCAGTGCAGCATGTTTGATGGCCTGAATGGAAGGAGGCCCGGAGCTCAGACCTTACCTTTCTATGCCACTGAGCTTATGGCGGTGCTTCCTGGACATGAGTAGCCCACCGCCCCAGGCAGCCTGTGGGGCAGAGAAAGGAGAGGGAGGGGGAGCGACGACGTTTAAGAATCCGAAACCAGTCACTGCACACCTCTAGTAAAACATGAGAGAGAGCGTAAACAGTGAAAAACATAAGCCTCTCCGACAAAAGGAACCCACACTGATTGTTCAACCAGTGGCAGTTGTAAATAGTCACCATTTGTCATTTCCTCTTCAAAAGTTCCTCCAGGTTAGTGTTACAGTAGCTGTGTGAGTGATACAGGTAAATCAGGTTTGAGCCTATGGTGCTAAGACCCACGGCCCAAAGCACTCTGGAAAGCCAGACACACTCCCTGAGCTCCCCCAGGAGGCTCTGGAAGTGACGTGAAGGACCGGAGCCTGCCATCTGACTCTCCCCAGGGTAGATTTCTAAGGGCTCCTGAAAAACTCAGAAAGCAGCAGCTGGGCTTGGAGGTCCCACAGCAGCTCCTGCAACAGCATGACATTTTTCTGGGTACCCTGATGCATGTCAACTGAATAGCTTGGGATGCCATGGGACACGAGAACAGCCTTTGTTAGTCATTTGTTCAACAGCAGGGCAGGTTACCCCATTTTCCCCTTGTGAGAAGTTATATCCATAAGAGAACGGAGAGAGACAAAGGAAAAACACACCACATATGTGAAACCCAGCCACACATGCGAAAATGTACCTTTTGTGTTCCTGGGAAAATTTGGCACTAAATCTTAGTTGATAACACCTTCCACATACCACCTTATTTTTCCTACATGTACCGGATACATTTTTTTTTTCTTCTCCAGAAAAGTGTCACAGATGGCTGGACTGAAGGCAGATACCTGAGTGTTCAGATTCATGGCCACTTTCTCTATGTTCGTTGTATCTTATATTTTTTTTCCCTCTGAAATCAGTTATATTTAACTCTGTAGCCATTTGTCCAGACAAAAGTTTCCTGGAAAGGTGATGGGGACCATATTCTAGCAGGAACCACAGTAGACAGCAATTGGCCAGTAAGAAATTGGATGAGTCCCAGAGGACGTACAGGCCCGAGGTGTGGCCCCGTCACAAATGGCCAGCTGGGGGCCAGAGAAGAGTGGGACTAATGTGGTGTGGAGGGAGAGCCGGTTGGGGCATTGGGAGAAGCTGGCGGCAAATCATAAAGCAGAGCTGCTTCCACCCTGCCGAGTGGACTGGTTCGCGCTGTGAGTTATAGCACTTACATCGACGTGCAGCCAGAGGTTATATTTCTCGCATATATCTGCAATCTCCTGTATCGGATCAAAAGCCCCATAAACAGTTGTGCCAGCAGTTGCATTGACATAAAGAGGAACGTATCCCTAGAAGGGAAGAGAGACAGGCTGATTAGCCTTATTAGCCTTCCTCCTTTCCACTTGAAGTAGAAGAATTGTAGTAGCATTTATTTCTAACAGACATCAGCTAAGTTGGTGTGGCATCAGATACTCTATCTGAGGACATTCTTCGTTGGTTCATTCACTCATTCATTCATTTACTCAACAACTATGTTTTGAGTGACGTTTATGTGCCAGGCCTTATAGATGCTGGAATACAGCAGTGAGCAGAACTGGCGAAGATTTACATTCTCGTGGGGAGTGACAGACAATAAACAAAATTAAATAAGCCAAATATACAGTATGTTTGACAGTGGTAAGTTCTACGGCAAATAATAAAGCAGGAAAGAGTAATAAGAAGTGTTTGGAGCGATGGGCAGGTAGCTCTGAATGTCATCTAGGTATTGTACGTTTGAGAAGCTGGGTTTTTCTAAGTGTATTGATGTAATATTTATACTGAAGCATTGTTTGGTTATTTAAAACATGTCTATATACTGTGAAAGCTGAAACATTCACTAGTAGTGGACGTGGTAAAATTTTGATGTGAACAAGAAGTAAATGAGGAAGGGCAGTAACAGGGCTAAGACAGGCTCGGGGAAATCTATGAGTCCCAGGGGTTTTTTTGATACTCAGCTCCACCTACGCTCCTTGCTCAGTCCTGGTGACATTTCCATCCATCTCCTCTACTGAGACCCCAGCAAACAACAACAGTCAGAGGAGGAGGTACAAGAATGTAACCAAAACAATGAGTTGGTAAATGGCCTGACAGCTACCTGGCAGTGTCTTGTGGATAAATCTGTTCTATGAGATTTTTTTGTTTTAATAGAATTTATTGGGGCTGGATTCACCAAGCATCATGGGCCATCTGCCAGGGCATGGAAGCACTTTGCTAAACAGAATCCTAAGCTAAAATGATATTTGTTAAAATAAGATCATACCTAACAAGTAGCAAGTGAAAACAATTAGATGGTATCTTCATGATGCTCGGTAGTGGATTTATTGAAGTACATCAAACTAATCATTTGGCACAATGAAGATAGGACAAGTGGTTTAATAACCGAATTTTTCATTTTTGAAAAAAAAAGTTGACATTGTATAGATACAGCTTTAAAGCCAAACCATCTCACAAGTTGGAAGCAAGCAAACACCTGAGAATAGAATTTTAGAAACACAATAAAATTATCTCTTATATTATCAAAGACTTTTATTGTCTAGGGCAGAAAGAAGTTATTTCTAAAAATTTGTATTCACTAGAGTCTAGATGCACCATAGAGTACATACCTTTTGCTTGGCTTCAAGAATTTTTGCCTGTAAATCAGCTGGAATTATTTTCCCCCTGTAATTATTATAAAAGGAGAGAAATTAAAATGAAGAACCAATGAAATTGCACATGAAAAAAACTTTAGCAGCAGCAAAAAAGTAATTTAATAGGATATTCTCAACAGACCATTAGCAGCTTGGCACACTGTACTGAGTCAGTCCTTAAGCACAATAAAACAAATTTAACAGATGAACACATTTAATACATCAAGAACCTAATATTCACTCTCTCCTGCCTACCTTTCATTGCACTTTATCAAAATCACATTGTCGGTTCCAAAGCCAAGTGCAGCCCCAGCTTTCTTTATGGAATAGTGACTCTGCAACAAACAGAGGCTTGAGGTTAGAAGTTAGATGGTCTCTTGGAAAACACAATCCATGAACAGGAGCACCCAACTCACATGTTCTGAGGTGAAGAGGACCAGTTTGGGCACTGCCGCCATGCCCTTTGTCTTAACTTCCGGGAAGTACTTGTATCGAGCAGCCATGATGCTGTACATGTTGGATATAGCTCCCCCTATCAGCAAGCAGACACATTGGGAAGTGTTGAGGCTCCCTCATTATTGTTTCTAACAACAAAATATGACCTGGTGTCTCAAGAAACAAGGGAGGTCAGAGAGGGGAAGGACACTATCCTGAAAGGGTTTGCTGGCTTCCCTATTGCCAGGGCTTCCCTCTGGACCCTTTGCCCTGGGAATACAAATAATCATACTCATTACCAAAACCATCTAGGCAATTTGGCTGATTCACCTACTCCAGCGTCCATCCCACCTGAAGCCTACACAGAAATCTAAGAGGTGGCAGCAGCAGTGGCTGCAAAGAGATGGGTGAATTACAACCTTCCTGCTTCCACTTTCTGTTCAGTCTATTTACTGAACAAAGATGAATCTGTTCTCTGAGTCAGAAAGACAGAGAAAGAGAGAGAGTAATGGAGCCTACAGAAGGAAACTGTGACATTGCCTGGATACTCTCCTCAAAGAACAGCCCAACTGAGCTGACTCATTTAAGAGACCTCAAAGTTTATTAAAATAAATCCAAACTCATGTTTACTCAAATAAAGATGCAAGGAGAACTGAGGTAATTAGTTATTTCTGGCCCATACAAACTAATCACTTTTGCATCAATCACTTGGCAATTAAACAGGCAAATTCATGGTTAGCTTGTATTGCCTGGACAATTGCAATTCTTATTTCTTCTCTTCCCCTTGTACACGATCACACTGTCTCTGATGCCATCCCAAACTCCTTCCTACTTCCAAGAATATCTGTCTTTGTTTTAAAGATTCTTATTGTATCTACATCGAACTAGAGATTCAAAGTAGATATACTATTCTGATCAAATCGCTCAGTCAATTGATAATCTTGATTCACTGATCCCCAGCTTAATCAAACTACTGTTAACAGGTCAGAGTTGTTTAGCACGACTTAGGTCAAGCCTTTGTTAGTTTGTACAGATTTAGGCACAGCCTTTGTTGGTTGGGACACAAAGAATCTGGCACTCTTGCTAGCCTTCACCCTGACAAAGACAGGAAGGCAGAAGTATTGAGAAATATATTTTAAGGTCATTATTCTTCATGTTTAGTGTTCTCAGGAGTCCCAAGAATCCATACTACAAACCTTGAGGAGAGTCAGGGAAAGAGAACAGAAACCTACCAGGAGAAAATATCCCATCACCATCTTTACTTGACCATCCAACTATCTCTCTCATCTTCTTAAGTGTTATTTGCTCCATGAGAACAAACACTGGTGCAATTTCATATGTAAACCTGAAAACGTGGTGAGAAAAAGAATGAAAATAAAGAAATCAAACCACTTATTTGGGGAACACACATGATTGGTTGAGTATTTGTATTTGGGTTCTAAAAAAAATTGTTCAAAACCACTAAAACAATTCATTTCCTGGAAATGCATTAAGTTACCAATCACAAAATGTCAGAAACCAGCCTGGGTTACCGAGAGAGGTGGTGGAAGTCCCTGCCTGGTGATTCTCCACCAAAAAAATAGATTCTTATCTGAATGGAATGTCATAGGTGTCGTCCACCCAGAGAAACAGAGGGAAAGAAAATGATTTTTATGGGTCCCTTTCACCTCTAAGACTGTAGGACAATTCCAATATTAATTGAAAAAATATATTCTAAGTTCTACATAAAATTGGTTTGCAGCATTTTAAAAAAACCTGTTTTATACAATCTATAAAATCCAGAGCCAAAGTCTATCTTTTAAAAACACTGTAAACATCTGAAAGCTAACTGTGAAGGTAATTGGAAATATTGACCCAGGTTTTAAAGATCTCAATATAATTATCTACATGGTTTTTCTACTGATAATCCCCAAAGACAGCTATGTTTCTGTAATTCTCTGAAGTCAATATCTGTCAAGAATAATTATAAGTGATGATTTTCTAATTACAATTATAAATATCAAGACAATGGTCAACTGGCATACACAGCCAACGGTGGGCATCAGATATCCTGGTAGGTTAGCTTTTTCTTCTAACGAACTGATTTAAAGGTAGCAAGCCATGTTCTTCTCAAAGCAATTCAAAACAGAAGCACAGTCTGGTAGACTAGTCATTGAAACAAGATCGTAGTACCAAGGATAGGGCTTAAGAGAAATCAAAGAAGGTCCATCCATAGAAAATTAAGCCAGAAAACAAAAAGCTATTTACTGACTCTGAGGCTCTTTGCCTTTCTTCTTTTCGCTTGGTCTTCTTAAGCATTAGAGTCTGTGGGCTTGGTGCAGACCATGCTTGCTGAAGAGAGATTCCTAGATTGACTCACCTGAGTGATATGGGGAGACTTTATCATTGATTAGGGTGTTTGGGCTGAATGCCAGTGCTGAGGACAAATGGCAATTCTTGCTGCCTTGATAATTTGAAAATCTATTTGCAAGGATGAGATAACAATTGTTGTACATAAGACACAGGTGAAGCTACTAAGTTTTAATCATGGAGAAAAAAAGCAATCAAATTAATCACATAGGGGTAAAAGAGGACAAAGAGATCCTGGAGGATCCTCAGGATATATCTGTTGGTAGAAGAGTTTTGTTTCCAAAAAGAATATGTTCATTTTCCTTGGACCCTTGAAATTTAGGAGAAAGACCCTTGGAAATCATGTGTTCAGTTACCATCACCTCTGGAGGTCACAATCATGCTTTGGTTCTGCTCTGAGCCCCATCACCGTAGCAACCAACACTCCCTCATGTCTGATGGCCTGATAAAGGAAGAAGAAGAGAAGGATTCCTGGTTTAGCCTGTGCTGCTGAGTGTACCAAGAGGCAAACTCATGATGTGCTTCTAACCATTCTTGAACAAATGTGTTATCAAAAGTGTCACTGATTTTTGGAAATGTTGGAATGCCAAAAATGTTTGTGTGGTGAAGAGGAACTGGTGGCAGTGTGTGTGCTGGAATTGCACAACACCCAATGAGAAGGCTCTCTGGGTTAAGGCAAGGAACAAATGGAATCATACACCGTAATATCAAAACCTTATCAAGGATTGGATGGAAGCTGAGTTGGGGTCAAGTCAGTGTTAGATGCCAGGCAGGAACCACATGGGGAAGGGTGAAGGGATGGAACTGAAAGGCCAGGGGCTTGTTCCACATCATGATTTGAATCAATTTGGGCCCCAGGTTTGCATGAATTATTGATCCTGTCTAAGGACCAGAATATGAGCATTACTCTCAGGATTAGGAGGAAGAGTCTCGAGAGTTTGATCACGAGACTATCTGATCTCATCGATTTCAATTTCCTTATCTGTACCAGGCACCCAATTCCTAAACCTTTCTTTCAGTTCTGTTCAACAAATACTTACTGAGTGACTATTCTCTGTCAAATGGCATCTTACGTACTGAGGAGACAAAGATGTTATAAGACACCATTCTCAACCTTGAGGCGGAAGCTTACTAGGATGAATTCAGCATCTTATTCTTGACCTTGGTGCATTCTGTTTGACAGACTCTGCCTGGGTTTGAAAGACTAGTTATCTCACAGCTAATACCAAGCTTATCCCAATTCATGGTCTTAGTCCTGACAACCTCTCCTGGAAGCTGGCAGATTGGTCCATAACTGTTGATCCTCAGCCAGGTCTGACAAACGGGCTAACATGGTGTTCCCTGTTCATGACGCTTCTCTGACCCTGCCTTCCCATCCTAGAATATGTTTACAACTGAGAGTCTGCCTGCACCCAAAGTCTTATAGAAGGCCTTGAAGTTCACTCTAGAGCAGTGGTTCTTAACTTAACTGGGGTCAGAGACGCCTGTGGGAATCTTAGGAAAGCTATAGTCCCTCTCTCCAGGAAGAAAATGAGGATATGCACATCATTTTGTATACAATTGTAGGAGCTTCTCCTATTGCAACCTGAACTCTAAGTTAGGTACCCTTTCCCTAAATGACAGAAGAAAGCAGATAAAGTCAAGCGATCAAAGGCCAAATATGGATTCAGAAGAAGCTGGTTAAATACTAAAGCCAGAGCAGAAGATGATGTTTCAAAATCAGAGAACAAGAAATGAAACCTGCAAAAAGCTCTGAGGTGAAGCATAAGAACCAAGAACATGGGATTAGAAGTAAGGGTATAAAATAGCAGGATGGTGACACTCATGGAATGACACTAGGAGAGTTCTGAGCCTCTCTTTATGCTGAGTAGGGTAGTGAGTCAGCCCTTTTTTAGTGGTTCAACTCACCTTCCCAGTGGGATTCACTCTGAACTAAGGCAAATTAATTAAGAAGCTGTGTTTCTCTTACAGCGGAGTCTGCTGGTTGCTAACCAATATCATTTTTCCCTTGCTTCATTCAATTTTATTTAGAGTTGCAATTTACCCAGATCAAAGACTGCATTTTCCAGCTTCCCTCCCCAGGTGTGGCCATGGGACTAAGTTCTCACTAAAGGATGCTATGGAAAACGTTGTGTGGAGCTACTGAGATGGTTTCTTTAGAAGGAAAGAGTGTATTCCCCTTTTGCCCACCCACCCTTCCTCCCCTCCCTTCCTTTCTTCCTTCCTTACTCCCTTTCTCTACCAATTCCTCCTCCCTCCCTCCTTCCTGAGTTCTAGAACACATAAGTGATGGTTAGAGCTCCAGCAGCTAGCCTGCACCATGAGGTGACTCTGAGGATGAAAGCCGTGTGCCACAATATGGATCAGAAAGGCACAAGGAACCTAGATCCTTGGTGACTGCCAAACTGGGAACTTCTTTAATGAGAGAAAGAAATAATTTTCGATGTTGACACTCCTTTTAGATTTCCCTGCCTTACAGATGTGGCAGGTGGTCCATCTTTGCCTTAAAAGGAACTTAGTGAACCCCTCTGGTATCCAGAGATGAGGAGAGACAGAAAAAAGAGCTGGGGGCCAAAGGGATGGGTATGAATGGCGACAGTGACCTGTTGTGTGAGGGGGAGGCTGTCTTTCCTAGGTGTGTGCATGGCACCTTGCATATATTGGGCAGTTAAGACTGGTGCCTTTTCTAGTCTTCAGAATCACTCTATAGGATGGATATTATTACTCCCCCATTTTCCTGAAGAAGAAACTGAGGTTCAGAGAAATTCCATGCTTTGTTCTAAGATCTCACAGTTAGTATGTTTCAGAGTCAGAATTCCAAGTCATTTACATCACAGCTGCTTTTCTATGACAAATGAGACCTGTTCACTGCAGGTTCCTCTCTAACAACCTGCCTAGTAGTATAAAATGACTGATAGCTCCCATATAAAATTCCTCCTGTGTAATTTCTATGAAAATAAAGCACTAGATACTTGAAATCATAACCTCAGAACAAAGGGCTGTGATAGATCTTGCCATTAAGATTATGTATTATCACTAGGAGCTTGAGGGCAGGCTATTGTTTACAGTTGGGCACTACTCAACTTGCACAGTTGTACTTGGTGGCCCTGTTTTGGAAAAAAAAGAGCTGTACGTGCTGTGGACAACCACATATTTGTAAAGTTTTCTTTGGATCTTCACTGGGTCCTTGCTTGGATGAGCACATCTCGAAGCTATATGCACAGGCATGTATAAAAGCATGAACATAAGTGTTCTTTCTATTCTAACGGATACTCACACTTTGCCACTTGAATTAGGATATTGGATAGTTCTTTTAAAAAGACTACACTGAGGCATGTAGTTACTATTCTCTATTACCAGTGCTACCCAAACTCAATGATGGTACAGTTCAAAAAAATGAGTATATCACTAATTAGATCCACTTTGCCAGAGAAAGATCCTTTTGCCCCTCTTTCGCAGACTTATTTTGAACACTGTTCCCAGTTCGAGAAGGAACTGTCACAAGGGAGCAAATTTCTGCATAAACTCCTGACAGTGCTGCCACATTTCATGATCTTCCAGGGGAACCGGCTTAGAACAATTTCTAGATAATAGTTATTACTTCTTCAGACAATGCCTTGTCTCTAGCACTGACAGGAACTATTTCACTATTTTAAATAACCTTCTCTATCGATCTGTTGGAATCGGATCATATTTTATAAATATCCACTATTCAGTACAGCTGCAATTACTATGTGCCATTTAGTTGGACTGGCCTTGACCTCAGATGGCTGGGACATATTTTAGTGCTTCATGGCTGAGCTGAGGTAAGAGAAGAATGAAGGACTTTGATTTTATGAACATATACAAAAAAAAAAGAGAATTTGTGAGATTTCTCTGGTTGAAAAAAGACTTTTAAGAGAATATCAGGTCATAAATGATTCAAAGGGGTGAGTTCCTTTTATTCATCTGGAGATTGGGCTATATATATTAGGAAATCGCAGCTGAGAGGCCTACAGAATACACACTTAAAGACAATGGGTGAATTCAGTGCCTATATTAATAGGGGTACTTGGGCCTTAATGGATATGTGCCTTTTACTCTATTTTTCTCATTTATTTTCCAAATAGTTAAGCTTTTAAAATAGCTGTACACTCTAATTAAAATAGTTCCTTGGGGTGAGATGCTTCAACTCAGCATTAGTGTCTTTTTTGAAGTTATAATGAGTATGTTATGATGTCTGTGCTTGCTATTTTTATCTCATAAATCATACTACAGTAAAGATTGCAAAGCAGAGTTTTTTGTTTGAGGAAGCCATACAGGCAATTGTATCTTTGACCCCAATTCCTCTTGGCCCTTTGCACACTTGGTGCTCCAACATGGACATGCCGTGATGTTAACCATGACTTGCAAGCAGGGAGCATGAAAACCATTTTTGTTTTCAATCAATTGAATCCTTTATGCCTTTTAGCACTAAAGGCTTCACTTGTCACATTCCCTTTTAAAAATTTGTCATTGTTGTTTTAAATTAGCAAACAAAGCAGGAATCTTTAATTAATAGAAACTTTTCCAAATGTAGTTAAGTATTGAGAGTCACAGCACTAAATAGCTTTGGAACATCCATGAGCCAAAATATAATTTTAAAGTGTCCTTTCAGGTTTTGTGGCTGGTAGTAGTTTGTTTAAGAAAAACAGAATACCTTGAACTTCAGTGACTTACATTCTATCTTGATGTCAAATGGAATTTCTCATTTTAAACAATACCACCCTTTCCCCTAAACTCATTTTTCAAATCTACTTTACCATGAACTTAAAAAGTGAATGGTTATTTTCTACATATTTCCACAGTGACTAAAATCCATAGAATTCTTATGTAGCCATTTGAAAATTATTGTAGAAACTTGTTTCATTATTTTCCTCTGGATGCTTTAATAGAACATGGTGCCATCATCTGGGTGTAAAACATTATCATAGTGTTGAGAGGAAAAGACAGGACTCAGTAGACTATGACGACCCTCCATCAACTTGTGACCTGTCTTTGTCTTCAAAGAGGGCATGGCTATGCAGAAGAAACTGTGGGGTGATTGCAAGAAGACTACCCAGCTAGTACTTGCACCCACCAGGACCTTAGAGTCAGTTTCATATAAATTTACAAAAACTTAGAAACAAATGAAGTCTTTACCTATTCAAACAAGGACAGCAAAAAATGTCAAATTCAGAAAAACAATCAGTTATTTTGAAAGGAATATATAATGTATCACTGCCAGCTGAATTCTGTTTCAGAATTTTTAGCTAAGCAATAGGCTGATCAGATTGGCTTGTGGCTTTATAGAAGTTTTAACTATGAAGGAAATATGACTTAAATGATAAGGACCAACACTCTTAGATGCGAAAATGGACCAAGATCATAGTCCGAAACATGACCTCTTCAGATACATCATTAAGAGATATGGAGTCTTTTAACATGGAATTTCACACTAAATTTTGAAAGCTAGAGTTGTTATTTTTCATGACCATGATCTTATTAAATTGCATTATTCAATTAAAAATAGTTTATCGAGTATTTACTATTAAATCAGAACTGTGATAAACCCAAAAGATATTAAGAGAAAAGATGACTGGGGCAAGTGTAATAAAATGATTATAAAACCTTCAGAATTGGACTTTTAAAGCAACAAGGCATAATCATACATCATGGTTGCTTATATGAAAATAATATGTGAAACTCACATATTGGTATTGGCAGTTGATGTCAGCCATTCGCCGGCTAAACCAATGATATCCAATCCAGTGGAGAGCTGATTGAAAAATCGAGGATGACCTAGAGAGACAAGTAACAGGCAAGCATTAAGGCAAAACCAGATTTTTCAAGCTATCTTCAAAGTAAAAGACTGGCCACATTGATGGGGCCTCTATCCCAATGATCTGTCTCATAGGGCTGCCCACGAATATCAGAGAAGGAATGGTAGGTTGGCCCATCCTATTCCAAACTTAATGATGTCCCCCAGTCTTATATGTTTCTAAAGCATAAGGCTTTTTTTTTTGTTTCCCAAAAATTCTTTTTTTTCTGAGGAAGAGTCACCCTGAGCTAATATCTATTGCCGATCTTCCTCTTTTTGCTGAAGAAGATTCACCCTGTGCTAACATCTGTTGCCAATTTTCCTCTTTTTGTATGTGAGCCGCTGCAACAGCATGGCCACTGACAGATGACTGATGTAGGTCCACGCCTGGAACCGAACCCAGGCTGCCAAAGCAGAGTGTGCCGAACTTAACCACTAGGCCACCAGGACTGGCCCCATAATGCTTTTACATTGAAAAAAGAAAATCCAATATCATGAAACTAATAATTTTTCCAGTATCTTATTTGTTGATTTCCAGAAGAACTCCTCTGCTGTATTTATTTTTTTAATTACAAATCAGGAGGTGGTGGTCCTGATTTTCCCCATAAATGTTTCAGCTTTTAATTTAACATCCCAAGGATTTAATCCACAAAGCAAGGTTTACTGACAGATTACTGACAGAGGAGAGGCTGTGGGCCTCAGAGAGGGTTCGTGGCTCTGTGGACTACACCAAGCCTGGGGAAAGTGTCAGCTCTAATGCTGATGCTGAGGGCGTGCCATCACTCTCTGGGTCTCTGTGTCAGTCAAATATGATGTCAAGCATTGGTGGTGTTTTGCCCATATATAGTCAGGTGATTGTTAAACTAAATTTATTGCTGAGATGACCTGGCATCTCCTCTGTGAAACAGGGGCAGACACAGCCTTATTCACTAGTTGAGTTGTTGATAAAATAATTGTTATCACCATATAACTCTAAAGCCATTTGCAACACAAAGTGTGCTTTAACAGGCTTTGTTCTCAGCAAATTCAGGATTGTTGCCAAGTTTTGGCCAACTTGGCGTTCACAGGAAAACTCAACCCCACATCAGCAAGCTTGGCTCAGCTGTCATGGAGGCATCAATGCAATAGATTATCTAGGGTTGTGAGACACAGAACTGGTGTTAGAAAGATATGCTGACTGCTGTGTTTCCAGTGGAAATTGCTTTTGCCTCTGAAATAACTGTTAGAGAGCTAGTGTTTGAACGTTCCTGGTCTAAGCACCCTCTCTGAGAATGTCTCTTCTTCCCCAGATGTGAGGGGGACTCATTCAGGACATCCGGACTGTGACTTCCTAGATCAGAATAAAACAATCCTTGCGTCTCAAGAGTCATCAAAAAATACTACTAATCTTCAGAAAAAAAATGAAAGAAGTATAAACAGTAAGCTTAGTGTACGCATGGGACCATATTCCAGAAATTTATGTAGACTACTCTAAATAGATTAAGTTAGCCCATTTTACTCTACTTTGCTCAGTGCCAATATAATCTATGAGATCTCCTGCAACATAACTGATTTTGTTGAAATCCATTAAAAAATATATGCAATACCCATTTGAAAACTTTTAACAACAAACATTACATTTTAAGACAGGACTGAATCATAAATAAATCTGATCACACCATTTGACAATGAATCAAAACTATGTAGCATAGCAGAGACAACAGATAGACAGACAGACTGACACAAATGCCCTCAAATAAAAGGGAAACAGTATCTCTTTGGCCATTAAAATATAAAGGACATGAGTTGTCCAAAACCTTACTTTTATCTTACGGCTACAGCCTTATGCCCTCCCCCCCAAATCTTATGCTGTGCCAGAATTTCTATCAAGTAACAAGACGACCTACTTTAAATTCAATTTCAACTCTCTATATGCAACGAAAATAACAAATGATAGAAGTGGTACTGAGCAGCACATGGCCTAAAGTCAGGCATGGGGAGACCGACACAGTTATTTTTCAAAGTAAAGTTTTTCAACAAATAAACTTCAAGGAAAAACAAGAGAGATGGAGGGGGAAATCTATTGATTAAGGGACATACCAAGCAATTGCAATGTGAAGGACTTATTTGGATTCTGACTTGAATTATAACAAAATAAAACAAAACATTTATGACATTCATGAGACCATTGGAAATTTGAACACTGACTGAATATCTGATACTAAAGAACTGTAAATTTTGGATTTTTTGGATGTAACAATGATATTGTGGTTATTTATATTTTAAAGAGTTCTTGAGGATAAAGAATATTTATAGATAAAATAATATGTGGGGGATTTGCTTCCATCTAATATAGAAGAGGAAGAAGGTTGGGGTACAGGTGAAACAAAACTGGCAGGAGTCGATAACAGCTGAAGCTGGGTGTTGGGTATATAGGGTTCATTATACTATTCTACCTTTGTTTTAAATTTAAAATTTTCCATTAAAAAAAGAAAAACCAAGAAAGTTGGCACACCTACTGTGGCTGAGGGCTGACTAGTATCTGTCTCAGTTCTTGGAGAATCTATACATACTGGTTCCTTTTTCAGAAGTCTTTTGTTAATTTGTAGATAAATTTCCAAATGCCATCATCATCCCTTCACAAGCTGTACCCAGATCAGTATGTTTTCACAATTAAAACTCAATTCATTATTTTGGCTGAGCATTAATATCCTTTTTCTAAAAACAATCTTCCACTGTGTGCAGCTACCTGCAAGGTTTACCCTATTGCTCTGGAGTCTACATCTAAATTACAGACCAGGAACCAGGAGCTGTGCCTTCACCTGGCAGCAACAGTACACTTTGCCAGGGTCCACACCCTGAGATGCAGCAGAAGGAAGATTATGAACTCCATAAATGCAAATATCTGCTCCCAGAAGCTGCTCTGAAGAACAAGGATGGATGGCTGCAGGCTGTGTCTAAGTGGATTCATACACTGGACCAATAAGAGTCCATGCTTCTCTGATCATGTGATGCTTCAGTTGTAGGCAATATGAGTAACTATTATAACAAATCTATGTATTTTTCTAGGCTTAAATGATAAAAATATGTGGTCTCATTTCTCTGAGAAAGTGTGTGTAGAGTGACCTGACAAAATAAAAAACACTGGACCATAGCAAGTCAAGCTAAAACACACATGGAGAATTCTGACTCTTTTTTATCCAGCCAAATAACACTAATTGATCTCCATCAGGAATAGGTTAGCCGTCAGACCAAGATGTGATGTAACTAAATTGATGAGTGTGCTTTTCTCTAAAAATCAGTCTGCAATATAATTGTCTTGTCCGTTCTGCAGTTATTTAAGGAAGCTACACTTATTCCACTGGTGTTGGCAGACCTCAAAAGCTGTTTGGGATTCCTTATTTAAAAATGCCTCTTGGGCCAGCCTCATTATTTCATTACAACACTTGTTTTTGATATCCAGTAGCCTTATTCAGCTCTATTACCACCAACCTCCCCAGACTTATCGTCAAATGACTAGGAAGAGTGAGAGCGATAATAAAGCAGAGGGAGAGAGAAAGAACAAGGGGCAACCAGTTGTGGCCTCAGGGGTTTCCCTGTAGTGGCAACTATGCCATGAAATGCCAATTACTGTAGATCTGTCTGCTCAAGAGCTCAAGAAAGCCAGGTTGCATGGGGGAAAACGAGTAGGGAGAAGAAACCACTGCTTCACTCCTAGGCTAGAAACAGCCAGCCATAGATCCAAAAAGTCCTAGACCTTGAGGCAACTGGAAAGTAACCACTTTGGTCAGGATTGCTGATTAGAGAGGGTTCCTGTAACATGAGTAGGAGGCAGGAGGGTATCCTCAAGGGCTCCCTTTTGGAGATGGGAGTTGGTGACTCAGGGTGTCTAAACTCCAGAGGTTGGAGTAGAATGTGAAGGACGTGTACTTGTGTAATTTTCAGTGTAGCCAATAGAAGGTGTTGAGGGTTGAACTGTGTCCCTCAAAAAGATATGTTCAAGTGTTAACCCCTGCTTCCTGTGAGTGACTATATTTGGAAATAGGGTCTATGCAGATGTAATCAAGTTAAGACAAGGCCATATCGGATTAGGATGGGCCCTAATCCAGACTGGTGTCTTTATAAGAAGAGAGGAACTTGGACACATACACAGGAAGAATGCCATGTGAAAGTGAAGGCAGAGATTGAGGGTTGCATCTAGCCAGGGAATGCCAAGCAATACCCTCGACCACCAAAAGTTGGAAGAGAGAATGATGGATCCTCTCCGAGAGTCTTTGGAGACAACATGGCCCTGAAGGCACCTTGATTTGGAACTTCCAGCTTCCAGAATTGTGAGAATAAATTTCTGTTGTTTCAACTCACCCAGTTTGTGGTAATTAGTTATGGCAGGCCCAGGAAACTAATACAGGAAGGGAGGGAAAGGGGCACAATTCTCTCCAGTTTCAGGGACAGGCAAGAGTAGGATTTATCAGAATGACATAGGCATGAAAATGGAAGCGAGAAAAGAAGTAGGGGATGGGTCGCTCTGCTCTTTAGGTTGTGAATAGCCTAAAACCAAGAATGAAAACTCTTTACACAAAACTTGAAATAGGACCATTTATCTATATCTTTTAAATCTGCTTTTACAACAATAAATGATGACGGGCTTTCGCCACGGTTGGAGTCTTCCACCAAATGTCGCTGCCCAAGGTCGCTCTATGGTCACTGAGCACTTTGCTGCCTTCCCTCACCAGGGTTTGTGTTTCTCCTTCTACATGAGTTTGATATCCTCCCAACTGGCAAGGGTGCGATGGAGGGCAAGGTTCCCACTCCACGTCCACCTGGCTCTCACCCTTACCTGTACGGACCCCGTACTTCAGGGTGTCTCTGCAGTCCACCAGGATCTGCTCCAAGGACTCGGGGTGGTCAGAGAGCTCCAAGTTGAAGCCCTCCATGCCTTCCAGCAGCTGGTGTGGGTGATGGAAGTCCAGCACCTTGGTGGAGCGATCGAATGTCTTGCGGACATAGTTGAGGAGTATGTCCACCACCTCCAGTAAGAACTGCACAGTTTGCTCCTCCCCATTCTTAGCTGGAAGCAGATCTGAGGGGGGAAGGCCAATGAGTGGTTGTCACCTGACTCATGTCTGGATTTCTTCAGCCCAGAAATCCTTAATATCAGCCGTGATATCTTTACAGGCCTAATTTCATTCCAGGATATGTATCTGCATTGAGAATCTGATGTACGTTCTCCCCAGAAAAAGGCACATATGCCTTTACACAGAAGTTTTGCATATACTCTCTGGGGGTTCAAAGACTGTCTGATAGTTAGGTTGCTCATAAATGGAATGGCGTGCTTTGAGAAGCCATGAGCAGCCTGCAGCTGCAGGTGTCCTTTTGCAGGCTGGCTGGGCACCCATCAGTTATGCCGGATGGAGAGGATCTCTGCCTTGCTCCCCTGGTGCCAGGTGTGTCCCTGTACATCCAGTGCAGACACTAGGCTTTTGGTTTGGTGTTATTATGTACTTGATCTGTTGAGGGCAGAGAGCAAGGCCTCTGTGGGTAGAGGCTCAGGTCTCCCCTGAAGAAGGTGGCCCTCTGTACTGTCCTTAGACAGGAAACTAGAACTGGAACATGGGGCTCAGGAAGGTGGGAGAGGGAATTCCCACCTCTCTCTTGACCTCACCCTTTTGGGCCTGGACTTTGGGGTGCCTGGAGGTGACATTGGGTTACTGCCTCTGCTAGGCAGAGTCAGGCTGGGGGGTTAGCCAGGGAGGAAAGCTGTAGGGGGCCGCAACTGAGGTTGTCAGCCACAACTCAAGAGTAGATTGGCTGAACGTGATATTCTGTGTCTATTCCCTGGATGATCTCTGAGGTTTAGTGAAGTCTTGTTGACTGTTCTGGTCTGGCCTCTATGGCCTGTGGGGAGTGAATGGAAGGGGTTGGTGGTGGCTTTGCCTTGGAGCTGCTCGGGAGAGACTGGGAAAGCACCTCATGAGACCAGAGCTATGGGGGCAGCAGTAATTAATGAAAGATCTCCAAAAGGAAAGTGAGTTTCAGGACAGCACTTGGTCATAGGCCCAGCCACACAGCTTCCCAGAGAGTGATTTTGTTGTTGTTATTGTTGTCAACCTTGGAGGATAAATGCTACTAAAGGAATCACTGGATTTTCATACATGTGAGATTCCTTTGGAATCTGAGACTCTGTGAACCCATATTTGGCCCTGCAAGTGTCTTTAGAGTTGACTGTTTAACTGCCCTCATCTGGTTTCCAAAATGATGGAGACCTGAGCGGTAGGGAAGGAGGGATTCAAATGTTAGAAAAGCAGTTTCAAGACGGTTCAGAGAGAGTAATGACATTTTTTGGTAAAAGAAGTAAAATTTCAGGAAAAAGTCAAGCGACTCAAGGAACCTACTGGATAGCAGTAGGGCTGGGGGGGGGGTGAGG